TTTTCTTTTTAAAAAAAATATTTAGATATTAAAATAACTTAGTTGCCACCCTTGACGTTTGCACGTGACACTACATGTAAAAGTTTAACTTATACAGTATGTTAACCTTAGTGTTTTTCACTTCACACATAAAAAATAATTTTCAGATGAACACAACAATTTGGTTTTATAAAATTGATGAACACAACAATCTCTTTTCTTACTTTTCTTAATCAAGACCCTGATGACAACATTGTAGTAATGTCGAAAATACTCGGAATAAAATGAATATGCATCAACATGGTCATTTTCTTTCTTCCTTTAATATGGATACTAAGAAACATGACCGTAATTACGAGCGGATCCTATTAAAAATTAAGTAGACACAATTTATTTAAATTATTTAATGAGACATTATATATATATATATATATATATATATATATATATATATATAAAGGTATCAAACATCTCACTTTCAAACATGTTTTCCACTCCCGCACATACATTCTCAGTGAAATTTTGTTTTTTATACCCTGAGTTATATTTTCCAAATTCCTTTTGAATTTGTAGGTCGGATGAATTGGATCGTGATTACGATTCCAATGTAATAAATTATAACCATGGAATATTAGTGTTTGAGCTTTTTTATTATATTATTACTCGGTCCTGGACATTGAGTTCTACCTGGATTCTCTCATCTTGGAAATTTTATATATATATATATATATATATATATATATATATATGTTGACCACTAATATTATCTATCTATCTATCTATCTATCTATATATATATATATATATATATATATATATATATATGAGTATAATTATGTTGTTATATTTTTATCTTAAAGATAGACGTTCTATGTCTATTGAATTTAGCCATCGTCTTTTCCGCAAAACGTGACTACTACAGATTCAAAAGTAGTCGAAATCAAAACTGTTTTTCAGCTTTCGACTGACATGATATAAATAAAGATCTAAAGTGTTTTAACTTGATCCTTTTTTAAAAACTGGTATTCTTTTCTGCTTGACATCGAATTTAATATATCAAAACACAAAAAACAAGGGTCATCGGTAACGTGTATCAGTCACGAAAATGGCGTGTTTTTTATATGCCTTGGGGAAGAAGTGTTTTGGAGACAACAGTTACTTTTTATTCATAGATGAGTACTTTTGTTGAATGTAAACAGTTTCAATAGTCTGTAGCTGGTTCTGCTATTAAATGATGTAGCATTTTAATATTTTTAGAGTGAAGCTGTCTAATGTTAGAGATTTTGTGCTGCTTGTTAATGTGTTGTTTGATTGGACTTTCTTCATATAGCATGTAAGCCTACGTGAAAGAGTAGTTGTTGTATAACCTATATAAGATAGATTTATTTATTATACAATTCACACACACACATATATATATATTATACATTTTTAAATGCGAGAACAGTGAGTAATTGTTTTTGTCAGCATTTAAAAATCTATAATAAGTAATTATTGCGCTATTCTTGGTATTGAACCCGCTTTTGAATTAATGCTGTGATATATTATTTATACATCCATCCATTTACGTATGCGTACATCCATATACGTATACATAAATATACATATATACACATACATGTACATCCATACATACACATACATACATACGTATACCCATATACAAATATATATGAGTACATACATACAAAACATCCACATATATATATACACACATCTACACATACACACATATATATATCCATATATACCATACATATACAGACACACATACATGTACATCCATATACCTATATACACACACCTACATATATACACATATATACACACATACAGACACAGCTAAGTACACACACACACACACTCACACACACACACACAAACATATATATATATATATATATATAAATATATATATATAAATTAAGATTTAAAATCTAAATAAGTAACATTTAAAAAATTTGGGGGTAAAAAATAAAAAAATAAAAAAAATTATTAAATCCATAGCGCATCACATAAACATACCCAATGATCCATATTGAGATAAACATAATGAACATAATAGTCATTCCATTAAAATGTCATGCCCGATGTTATTGAACCAAGATGGAACTGACATAAGTGACAACATGTTACAAAACGGTGTTCAGGTTTTGAATCGTTTCTTATGTCTACATTTAGAAAATATCTCATTACGAAGACTCAGTAATTCATCTTGATTATTATATGTATATGTGTATATGTATATATATGTATGTGTGTGTATGTGTATATTTGTGTGGATATGTGGATATATTTATATGTGTGTACATGGGTATATGTATGTGTGTATGTGGGTAAACGCCTATGTGTATGTATATACGTGTATATGTTATTGTGTATGTGTGTATTCGCATGTGTTTTTGAACATAAAAATATAGGTCCTTGCTAGATTAGATAATCGTTACATTTTTTTATATGTTTATATTTGATTTGTAACCTGTAGTCGATATTAAATTTGTCAAATTTTCTCAATTACACAGCGGCCCTTTCAGTAAATGTCCTTCAATTTTACTTTCCTTCGCCCCATCTCTCTCCCCCACCTCTTCTTTCCTTCCCTTCCCTCTTATTCTGATCTTCAACATTAGATCGTCTATGGTGTGTGAATGTCACCACGAAATGTATCTTTATGCATTAGACATCCGACAACATTCATATTTCTCTTACTTAAACCCCTTCCATTCACCTCTCCTAAAATTCTCTCTGTTAAGGTTTAATCTCCCTCCTTCTCTAGTCTGTTACCCCTCTCTTTAGCTCTAACATTCGTCCCACACCCTCATACTTACACTCTCTCTAAATTCTGTTTTTATTTCCGGAGTTGTTTTTTCTGTTTTCTTTTTGAATTTGTAGGTCTGATGAATTGGATCATATTTACGATTCCAATGGAATAAATTATGACCCTGGAATATTAGTGTTTAAGCCTTTTTATTATATATATATATATATATATATATATATATATATATATATATATATTGACAAATTTGATAATGTCGAAAGTACTCGGAATAAAATATGTGTGTGTGTGCATACATATATATATATATATATATACGTTTGATCATAGAACAACGAAAGTTCATTGTTAAAGATGTTTTTTTTTATTATTTTCACTATTTCGGACCTTTTTCCTATTTTCGGCATATATTTTTATATAAACTGTCAAATGAGTACTTTAAAATTTCAAAAGTCATTGTCAGTATAACAGAATATAACAACATTTTTTTTCCCACTTTGAAGGAAAAAATGATAATCAAATAAGTAGAATAGGAAAGATGATCAATCCGTTCATAGCCATTTTCATGTACAGCAATAAATTTGTTATTCCAGAAATCTCTTTTGGTGTTTCGTTATGTCTTCAGTGACACTAAAAATTCTCTAAGTAATTTCTAATACCGAGTTACTTTCCACCATCCCTATATATTCTCAATAGTTGATATAATGCAAAAATATCACAAAGATAAAATTGGTCAATAATTATTTATAACTATTTATCCTGAGACTCATGTATGTAAATGCAAATAATCCATAATAATATTTGAAATTTTGAAATCATATTTATTTTTGGCATATGAATTTTTTGAAAATATTTCAGAATCTTTTATTGTCTTTAAATCCTTCCGCCTCACCTGCTACCCACTTCAACCTCACCTGCTATCCCCTTCCACCTCATTTGCTACACCTTCCGCCACACCTGCTCTCCCCTTCCGCATCATCATCTATCCCCTTCCGCCTCAATGGCTACCCCTTTCGCCTCGCCTGCTATCTCCTTCCGCCTCACCTGCTATCCCCTTCCGCCTCATTTGCTATCAGCTTCCCCCTCACCTATCTCCTTCCGCCTCACCTGCTATCTCCATCCGATTCACCTGCTATCCCATTCCGCCTCATTTTCTATTCCCTTCCGCCGAACCTATGAGACGCGCTGCATCGTTTGGGAACCACTGTTTTAAAGGATAGGAATGAAGATATCGGTTTTTAAGGGAACACACAAAGAATTGTAGCGAATATCAGTTGTATAATACACTCAGATCAAAGATCAAGCATGTAAATGATAGGAAAACTTAATAAGTTATAAAGAAATAGTGCAGTTAATTCTATCCGAGAATATAAGAATTAGAAACAATTTCTCAAAGATGGTGCCTCTATTCATGTCGTCAGCAATTGCTCACATCCGATCATCGGGGTCGTCATCCTCTCCTTTTATTTCCTTCCCAAGCCATGGTGGCGCTGACGGAGAGGGCTGTGAAGACCCACCCTACTCCTGAAGGGTCGTGAGCAGAATTCACATAGGTGTGTGTGTGGTGGACGTGACAGGTTGAGTCAGGCCCTCCTGAGAGCATGTCGGAGATTCTTTCCATGTTGACGGTTTAATGAGACTCGAAAATCTCGCCACCCCCTCAAATAATCCTACGCCAGAAAGGCCAATTTAAAGCAACGATTTCCCAGGTTTGTCTGTTTTCTTGTTGTTTAATTCTCTAGATTGTCTGGTTCAATTTTTTGGGGGTTTAACAACCAGGTTATTTAAAACCGAAAAATATATTCTTTTAGATTATAAGAATTAAAAAAAAATATTGTTATTAGAATTTAGTCTTGCGAATTAACCCATAGGTAGTGGGAGAGAAGAGTTGAATTAATATCTTTCCCAATTTACGCGTAGTTTGCTATCCTCATTATCATCTTTCGACCTCCCTATGGTTGGTCGAAACTCCATTGTCAATCCCTTTTCTCACTGTTTGGTCCTCCGTTGCTGTCCCCAGATCCCCAATGTGCAACCCTGTGTACCGAGCTAGGGTGCCTGAGAAAATCAGTATTCGTGAGAAGACATTTCTAGAAAAATGCCATAGGAGTAAGGATGAGACGATTTCCCTGTTCGCTCGGCGGGTATTAAAAATTTAATATATCCAACCCAGATGGAATTGAAACTAGGCTCTTCGATTTACAACTCCGGGCCGTTATTTATTAGACCACCTGAACATCCAAGATCACAGCATCCGGTATTCCCAAACGGTCACCCATCTACGTACTGACCAGGCTCAACGTTGCTTAATTTTGGTGAACGGATGAGAACTTTTTTTTAACGTGATCTGGCCGTAATAATTTTAATACCGGTGATCGTTGGAGGATTAGCACGTTTAAAAAAAAAAAAAAAAAAAAACAATAAGAAAAACAAAGAAAGAAAACAAACAAAAATCAAGAAAATGTAAGTAGATATTAGATTGTGATTTTGAAATGCATATATTATAAATAAGTAAATAAATAAATGAAATTATGTCTGTTCAGAACAACAGCAGTGTTTCGAAATCATTAAATAGGGTCTGTTGGTTACAAAACAAAGATAAAATGACTGGTTACAGCAACTGATAGTCCCACACATTTACCCATCTAAGTACTGATAATGCACCTCGTTGCTTAATTGCGATGATCATACGAGAGTTTCAGCATGATGTAGCTGTATGCTTTAACTAACCAGAGTAAATTTATTGACAAAGAACTGCTCGCTTCAGGATACCCAATAGTTTTAGAGAATATGTTGAATAAAATGATTAATGCGAATTGCTTCGATGAGAAAGAAAATGATATTTAAAAAAAATAAACACGGGAAAAATATTTTCGCATCTGTTTATTTCTTTATTTTTGTTGGTCACATTAAATGATATTGATTCAATTTCCATTTAGACAAAATGATTGAATATTAATCTTTTCCAAACACAATTAAGTCTATTCCATCTTCTCTGGGATATTACCAAGTCGTAATTAATATAATAAACATTGTACTTTTATTTTGTGTTCTGTGTTAAAAGTTAGCATATTTTTCGTTCTCTTTCTTTCTCCTTGCCGTTAGGTTATAAATATTCCGTTATCTGTTCAAGCACATGGTTTTCAAATAAGTGGTCGGAGATAACGTCACACACTCATGGTATGTGTATCAAAACTCCGCTATTTTTTCGAGAAGTACACTTTTTTTTTAATTACACAACAATTAATGTTATACTACCGTCAATAATTTATTAATAAATATTATTTATAATAATTTTTAAGATCCTTGGGTTAATTTTACGATATACCAACCAATGGCTATTTATATCGAATTTTATATGGAGTTCTAGTATGGATCGAACTCACAACTCATTCGTAATGTTCAACGTCGTTAATTATTAGACCAAGTCGAAAGTCCCTCCTTTTTATTAGAAAGTATTCACCTGAAATATATTTTTTTCGAATTAACAACGTGTAGTAATATGGGGGTGGGAGGTCAGTTTATTACTAAAAACAGAAAACAGGTCTCACATCACCCAATGGGCCCACCGGTTTTCAACATGTTTTTAATTAATGGTGTTTAAATTGATGAAAATGGCTTTCGGGGTGGAAGCAAGCGCAAGTATATTAACTGCTAATTGCGGAATTATCTTTCTGAGCTGATTTATTTGTAGTGTAACACCCGCGCTTATTTCGCATTAAACATTTCCAGAATACTTGGATATATATGTAGTTGTACATGCTCCATTTGAATCTGGCTTGATATATTTGATAAAATCCACCGTTTTGGAGTTATCGACAGTTAAAATTCGGATTCATTCGAGTCGTTGGTGGCAGCCATTACTGTCGTTGTTTACATAGGTTCACTGTGGAAAGCTAAACGCAGATGACTACGGAAAGTTACGCGCGGAACTGATCTTTCTTGTCTAAATTTGTCTCAATTACTGCACACGAGAACTATTTACGTAGATACGCTCAGTTTGCGCAATGATACCTACATCGATAGCTATTCTGCAACAAAGGTATGCAAACAATGCCTGTAATGGCTGCCCGCGACGAGAATGAATCCAAGATTTTACTGTCTATAGCTCCAAAACGGTAGATTTTATCATATTTATCAAGCCAGATTCGAATGGAGCATGTACAATTACACATAAATGTAAGAAGTCTGGAAATTTTTAATGCAAACTGAGCGCGGGTGTTACAATGCAATTTAACCTTTGAGCCTTATATCAAAATTCGCACCATATTTTATTAAATATTATTCTTCCTATTATTAGGATAGATTAGGTTTTATATATATATATATATATATATATATATATATATATATATATATATAGATAGATAGATAGATAGATAGATATATTTTGGATTATTTAGGCCCTGTTTTTTGTATGAGGAACAACAATAATAGACAATGAGGATAGACTTTCTAACTATTAACCTGCCCAGATGTGTTCTCCTATTATTAGAGGATGTTGACATAAATGTCTTAACATGTATTTCCCAATTATTAATATTTAATAATTCCAGGTTATCAGTTTATTACATAAAATTATAGAAAAGAGATCCTTCATTTTATGGCCATTCGAAGCTTATATATATCAATACTGATTTACTCTTTCCATTAAAAATCACAGGATAGTTTATTAAATTATTCCTGTTGTTAAGCTAAGTTGGTTAATTTTAAGGCATATCGAGCCTTGTTGGCTTATTTAGCGACCCATAATCATACTTGAACTCATTACGCTGCGGTAAGATCAACCCGACAAGCTTCGTTAGCCATTACCCACGCCGATCCGATTATTTACTTAAGATGGTTGATCTTATGAGATGTCCAGCCCTGTTAGCGTATTGAATGTCAAAATTTTATAGGGCAGCAAGTGAGGCCCAAAGTCAAAACTGCAATAATTGCTACCCAGTCTAGCCGCGTTAACCATTACACGAGGCGTCTTTTGGTTAATTTTACAATACATTTGTTGGGTTAGTTAATGTAAAATATTATCTGATGATCAAAATCTCTAAATAGTTGTAAACTTACCCCGGTAACCATTATACCAGAAGAAATCTATCATAATCAGTCAGCCCTGTAGGCCGCAGAAGACGGCATCTTTTTAATCACTTCACCCGAAGCAAAGCAATAATGCCACTAAAATACAAGTGTCTACTGGAAGTGAAAAGAATCAAAAGACTCTAGAAGGAACGGGAAACACAATCCTAAACAGGAAACACAATCCTAAACAGGAAACACAATCCTAAACAGGAAACAATGGATAAAACTCTACGCCTGTCCAAAACACCTAGAAGGATTGTGAACTGAACGGTAATGAATATGTGACATAAATGTACTTGCAATCTTTCCATTAGTGGAATTAAGAATTTTATTCTTTAATCCATTGTCTTCATTCCTCCAGCCGTTGAAAAAAAATCCTAAAAAGAAACAAGGGAAAAAACTCTAATCCTGTTCAAAAGACCGACGAACAGTGTGAACGAGAGAGAGGCGAATATGTCTATTCCATTTTTTAAAAATGTATTTATTATAATATCGGTTTAACAAGTGTTAATTGACTTCTTTGAAGCATATATCGGCTCAAAAACGGAATTTCAAACCTACTTTTAAATCAAACTGAGAATTCGTATACTTCCTTCACACTAACCTATTATAGTAAACAAGTGTAGCAACGTTTCTTTTTTTTTTATTAAGTTTGCATGTAGGGTAGACGTAAAAGAGTAGTTTACCCAAGTTTTCTGTAAATCATTACGGCGAGCCAGTGTGGGAATATTTTGCCCATAAATTTAGAGTTGGGGTAAAATCCAGTGTCATTTACGTGTCTGCATTTCTAAAACGAACACTAGCAGCTTTTGACCTGAGAATCGAAAAGAGTTTAAGCGATTGCGTTTACAGCGCTGTTAAGACATAAGGTCGTAAAATAAAAGATTTCAATAATAAAACTAATCATTTTTTTTTCGAAATCTAGTTCTCAACTTTGATATAATTCCTCTTATTAACATAATGATTCGACCACGTATTACTTGCCATCTTCAGGGATCTATTATTGAAATGCTTGTTTTCTACTTTTATATATCTTTTTATAGACACAACATCTCGGACACATAAGCACGGAACATCTTCTAGCGTGCATTATGAGATTATTTCTCATCATTTTTTTATCAATCTTATAGATGTAGTTCCTGCCACATAAACACTGGACATCCTCACGTGCCTATTATTTGAACACGTGTTCTAACCTTTGATCGTTATATATCTTAATACAGACTCAACGTTTCGGCAGCTGACTATCTTTATGCGTTTATTCCAAATCTTGTTCTCATCTTTATTATAAATGTTATTATGAATAGAGGTTTGGTCTTATGAACATTGGTCATCTTCGATTGTCCATTATTCAAACACGTGTTTTTAAATTGTTATATATATCTCATTATCGACACAAGATTTCAGCTACTTAACTACTGGCAATCTTCAGGCTTCCATTTTTCGATCTCGTATTTGATTGTAATAGCCAAAATATTGCGTCCAAAATCCCATCTTAGAAATCAATAAAGAAATTCTCAAAATGTGTCAAGAAAATACCTTAATAAACAAATTCAAAATCTGAATTTAAATATTCCCGAAAAATGCAACCCTATTGCCATCAAGGAACAGTGAGTTCAGTCCTTCAATTAACTAATGAAATCCACATATTCTGGTTCAGAAGGAATGATCAACGAATTTTATCACTATAACAAATATAACACAACAATCAACACAACAATTAACATCCCATTAGAGCCTCAACATGGTGCAATAGTTAGCAAGCTTATCTTACTAGATCGATTACAACTGAATAATGTGTTCGTTCTTCACTGGTTGACCCATACTTTTGTCCTTCTGCCATATCTAACCTAAAAAAGATCATTTCGACATGGCGTAATGGTTAGCAAACTTGTCTCGCAAGATCAATTACGACTGAGTAATGAGCTCGATTCTCACTGAGTGCCCCAATCTTGGTCATTTGCCACATCCATGCTGTTCTTAGACAATCACCATCCCATCAAATCCAATATAATGAAAATCTGATGATGCCCAGAGGTACTTTGCTGAAATTCTGTTACTTTATAAAAGTTGAGTTAAATCTTTTGAATGAATCGAATATGCTAAAGTAAAGTAACATTTCCTCATATTAAAAATGATCAAATTCTTGGATTAGTCCCATTGGTAATCCTATTATACAGCGTCTTTGCTATGTCAGGCCATTGAGAAAAAAAATCAAAGGATAATGGATGACATGATGAAGAGAAATGCAATCCACCCACGTAGATGTGTCGACGGA